CTCAGACATCCACAAGAATCCGCTCTGAAGATGCTTGGGGCGCTTTCTAGAAATTTACCGGTACGAAAAGATAGAGCTTGCCTATGACGCAGCGAAGAAACCAGCTGCCATATCGATTTTTTCGCCTGCGCACGGGATGGCAGGATGTAAGGATCTCACGTCAGAACATGTTGCAACATACTTCCACGAAGCAACCTCATGCACCAGCATGATCTCCTATTGGCGGCCGTCGCCTCTAGGACAAGACAGAAAAAATTAGCCCCGTAGCAAGGAAAGGGCGCCGTCACCAACTTTGCATGCCACCGAGAGCAGCCCGAAATCAAAACTTTTCTCTGCTGCTTAACACAGCGTGACCTCGAACCTCTGGAAACCTGAATCCCTCAACAGACTTCTCTTCTGCCCGCCTGCTCTGCAAGCTGATTCCACCCGAAGACTGATCTCTGTTCCGCGACCTCTGGGCAGGTGGTGTCGAGTTTAGGATTCTGTTCATCACTGTCTTCTACGACGCCTAAAGAAAGACCCCGAAATTCGCATCCAGGAACATGAGCCCAAACTTCTGGTGGTCCCTAAGACTTGATAAGATCATGAACCTGAGGCCGTAGTACACCGACACCTTGACAAGGAAATGTACCTCAATTTTCTTGACGTTGACGTAACCCAAAAATTCATTACAAACAGCCAGAAGTCCTCAGAATACATGTCGTCCCAAGAGTACGCTGGTGAATGGCCTGGTTGTCTGATAGGCCGTGCTCCAGAGTCACATTGAAGAAATCCAGTACTGCCTGTCGGGGCTTTGCAGGGACCTGTATGGCTTGCATGTGGGTTGTGGTCTTTAGGCTGCCTTTGCACTTTACAAGGTTTGCTTGCTGCGTGACTGTTGGGGCTTGCGAGTCAGTGCTTCCGATTCGGGAAGTGGGGTTCAGCGTGTGGAAGACCCATGCGTGTTCCTGGGACAGGTTGGCGTGGCAAAGTCAAGTGGAATGGAACCTCTTTCCGCTCATTTTTCCAAGGTTATTGTGCAACCAACGGCTCTTCCAATCAAGTCTTCCACAGCCTTCGGGTGGGACACTTCTTGGATCACCCTATATCGGATGAACCATGAGGGTTGGGAGCTTGGAGTGGCGGGGATCCATGCAGTTAGACACTTCACGGGATTAACAAAACCGCCGTGCAGGGCAGGGTAAAATGTCATAGTCGCTTCTAATTTCGCGTCCTGCGATCGACTCCAACCTGCTCCAAGAACGTACTGGCAACTGAAACCTTTATGACTTCATGCTCAGCAATGCTGCCCAGATTGTCGCCATCTGTGCTGTCACTGAGAGACGCTTGCTTGTTCAGGGTACAGGTTGCCTGGCTAGAAGAATCCGAAGCCTACACAACGAGCCCCCCAAACAGTGCACCATCCCTGACCGACCCGCCTGCTCAGAAGCAGCATGCGCTTCAGAGGGAAGGTGCAACGTTGGCGCCTGAGTTGGATGGGTGGACTAAACGCCTTTTGCCAGTTTGTTTGCAGAAGTAGACCCCTGCTCACGCAATGGACAAATCGGAATCCTTTGTCAGGACCACAAAGGCTGAGCTTCATTACACAAAGTGTTTTGAAGCCTAGATCGGCCATATCTATGCATCCTCATATTTCCGAATAGAATCTTCGGTTAAGTAATCCCTTCAGAGGACCCCAGACTGCCATGCATGCCTATGACATGTTTGCATGCCGTTATAATCCTTGAATGGCCCACCCGTCAGGTGGGTGGTGAGAGCTGGGAGATGTTACCTGAAGTTCCTCTTTTGAAGATGGGTTCCGCTCCTATACCCCCTCGCCGAAGATTCCCCTGACTGAAGGCTGTCTAGCGATGGCAAATAATCAAGGGAAACTTAGCGATTTATGCCTGGCGGAGGGGTCACAGCGCAGCCCTCCCTAAACTCAATCAAATTTAGGGGCCTAAACAATTTGAATAATGTTTGTTGGAATGCTGCGCCATACTTTTATACGAGTTGTAACCCCGAACCCTAAATAGCGTCCTGCTACCAATTCTTCAGGCTTTTACATTAAGTCCGCCCAGAGCGCTGTGTCCAGCACTGCAGACCCCGCGGCTGTCCGCGCAGAGGCGCGGCGCGGCGCAGACACAAAGCCCCGCCTAGAAAAATTGTCCAAGAAGTTGGTGCTTGGGGCTATCTGAGCCATCATCATCTCTTGACCAGCGGCTCGAGGCAAACCATGGCTGTAAATGCGGGAGGTTGACTAATGAATTGGGTTCAGGGCTCCGGGTTTAGGAAATTCATAAGGGTCATATGTGGGTGATGTGGAGGAGTACGTGAGGAAAAGAAGGACGGGCTTTCAAGGAGCTTGCAGGGATCGGGGCTCAGGGTCAATTAACAGGCGTTGTTGAGGTCTATTTGAGATACCCTATACCATTTTTTTACGCAGAAACTAAAGCCATAAGATAAGGAATTTAGGCCCCTAGTATGTTACTGACAAGGCCCTGCTGAAAGTTCAAAGCCGCGTCGGGGATGTTTCTTGGAGTTTTTTTTGCAATGTTCCTGTAGCATGCTTTAAAAACCCCAAACAACACACAGTAAGACGGAAGATTCTCAAAATTGGGGGGATCTACGGTCTTGGTTATGAGGGGACTACTGGGGTTTCTTTTGGGAGTGCTTTGAAAGAAACTGCCAAATCCTGGAAGGAGCGACAAGAACCTCCTGGAATTGTGGCTCCCAGCGGCGTGGCCCGCTGTGTAGCCAGGAGCGCCCCGAAGAGGAGCAAAGAGCCGAGCGGCACCTTGGCGGCAGGGTGCTCTGGGGTGGGGGGTGAGGGTCTATAGGGTTTAGGGTCTAGGGTTCAAGGGAGGATTTGGCTACAGGTTCAGATCTTGAGGTCTAGGGCCTCAATTTCAATGTCTGGGCTTAGAAAATTTGAAGGTTTCCACACCTACATTGTGCAGCAAGCATGGACAAGACCGGGGGTTTCAAAACTTCACACGGAGTGCATCTCTATAATGCTTTCTACGCAACCCCGCAAAACAATATCCATGGTGGAATGGGGAGGGAATATAGACAGGGATAATTTAGGGCCTGTCGGGAACCTTGTAGCTTGTGGAAGCATAGTACTTCCCAATCCCAAAACCTGAAGCCAAGCCATTGTGAGAAAAGATATTCTACATCAGCCGCAAGTTGGGGTGAGGTCAGGTGAGGTCCTCAGAACTGGCGCAGCTATGAGGTATTCTGGGAAATGTGGCGTTATTATGGGGATTCACTTCCCGCTCCCCCGTAAGCCCCTGTGAGCCCGCTCGAGGCAAAGAAAAGTAAGTAAAGCTCAGTGATGATAAAAGTCATGAAATTTCGCGAGAAAAGGAAATCCGAAGCACTAAACAAAACACATGAATCTCAGCAAAATGCTGTCCAAACTCGCGCCACTGACGTGTAACTGTCTGCAAAGGCCCATTGTGAGTATATGCAAGAATTCTGCGCCCGATTTGAGTAAAGTGTCTTGGTCACCTTCGGGCTTTTGTGGTAGAGGGCTTGAGGTTTCGGGTACTTGAAACATCTCGCTCACAAATCTTCTGGATGCATTGGGCCTTTTGGAGATTTTCGCTCTGCAAGGACCGCGCCTCGTGCCTCAAATGTACAAATTCCCTGAACACAAAATCATGCACCAAACAAATGTTAGTCAGATCTAGTCAGAGAATACAAAAAAAAGGATGGCAGTACAAGCAGGTAGGAATCATTAAGCATACCTGTTTTTAGTTTCGAGAACCTCAAGAACAACCTAAACCCCGCAATAAACAAACTTGTCACGAGATATCCAACGAGGACCCCGGCACTAGCGTTCAACGGTAAACTCGAAATGGCAAGTTTGAAGCTAGCCCATCTCTGCGACATGAACTCCCAGGGGCCCCTCGTCGTCCCCGTAGGCGTACCATGGCTCAAAGATTCTCTAGGGCTTGAAGTACTATAGGGGCTGAGGATGTGTGGTGCAGGGTTCAGGCCTAGAAAAACTTACGGTTGCAATGGTTGTCTTTTTGCATCCTTGTTGCTGCGTGTGAGTATGCGGCTCTCGCCGCCAGGGAAGCGATGTGAATTGCTTCGCTCTGGCCAAACAACTTTGGGGCGCATGTCAGATTTTATCTGCGAAAGTGTGCTGACATTTTCATGTAGTCACCACCTCCAGCCCGAGGTGGTACGGGTGGCATGGGGGATCCAAGTGGCACTTGCGGCTTTTGATCTCTTAAGCCAAGATCAATGTAGTACCGCAAGATGTTTTAAAATGGGCAGGAATTTCATCCAGCATCTGCTACGGGTGAGCCGGTGCTTGACCAAGAAATGGCTGCAATGAAGTAGGACTTCCGCTTCAGAGCTTGCCTTGTGTCCACCGCATTTTGAGATCTGATTGCTCCACCTACGGCTGCGAGTCCCCAGTTACAAGACTCACGGCGCCTGTAACTGCAGTTCGTGTACCAGGGCGAGTGGCCTTAAAGGATACGTGAATCGTGTGGCCTGCCTCAACTTAGAAAAATATGCGCAAGGCCGGTTGTCCAGGCATCGCTCCCCAATGCCAGAAGACAAATTTGGAGGCTCATGTGTGAACAGAAGTGCAGCTCTTCCTTTGATAAAAACTGTGACTAGTCTGAAACCTAAGCATAGCTACCCACACACCCCCGAGCAAGTACGGCACAAGCAGCTGCTTTCCGGGCGTTTCAAGCCACTATGATACCCCCAATGATGGCACAGTCCTGGTAAATTTGGACGCCGAACAAGTGCCAACAGAACACCTCCAACTGCCAAACGATGACTGTTCTCGGGCATGCCACTTCATATTTTCAAGCTACCCGTAGAGCCCAATACATTCAACTAAGGAAGAAACTGGGGCCGGAAAGCTTGTATTCCTTTAAAGAGTGTTGCTGGGCACTTTGGCTCTAACCATGCCCTAATATTGAAGGTCATGGACAGCCTACTGCATGACCGGATATTTCATTACAGCGACTACATACGACAATTAACTTTTTCTAGACCCCAGCATCTCCCACTCCTGAATGGCAAAAAAATTGTTTAGGTTTTTCGAATGGTGCAGTCAAAGGCGATGCCAACACATAGTGCTCTCCGTATGGTATACCTTCTCGACTATAGACAGCGCCTGATGTTAACGACACAGTGAACACGGACGCGCATCTCGGAGAACCCTACCTTTAAGCCCTGCCAGCATCCAGGCGCTCTTTTGCTCCAGGACATACACCTCAGCAGTCATGCCAGGCTTGGTAGTCGATGTTTCGCGCAGGCACGCTTATGGCTATCCATGCAGATGCTAATGCATGGCTGCCACGGCAAACTGTTTGATAAGCAACCAATGAGTCCTACAGAGCCTGAAGGATTGCCATATTCCAAAGCCAAGCCGGCAGAGTTGGGATGTAGGGTTAGTTTAAACATGGAGAACACAATGGTAAGGAAACTAGAAAATCAAATGGAGACTGCTACATTATTTCGGGGTCTTCGTCGAGGGTGCAGGATTTGCCACAGTTTGGCTTTCACTGTGGGCCAGGATGCAACAAATAGGGAATTTGGCAAGAGCGCTGGTGTTCGCTTACTTCTGCTGGCGGCGGATGTCCTGACAGCCCCTATGCCGAAATCCAAACCCCTTAACCGCGTGCTCTTGTTATCCCCAAGCACCCTGAATCATCCCTGTCTCTCATCGCAAATGGGCCTCCATAAGGCCCTACAGACTAGGAAGCTTGCTGGAAGACCGTCTCAAGTGTAAACGACGCGGGTGTGCCACAAAATTTGGTATGTATTCCTTGACTTGCAGTTCACCGTTCTTACTGTGGTGGAGCCTCGATTTCGGCCTGCACACATTTTATCATTACTTTCAGCTGAGCAGCTTCTGCCGTCAGATCTGGGTCCCAGGATGCCTCAGACAACATCACGTCGAATTCCTTCCCTGGGTTTCGGGGGACAGTGCTGCTGGACAAGGATTGGGTACCCTTGCAGCTAGTCCGCATATGTACCATGGCATGACAGCGACTGCACATTACCCCCAGAGAATCAAGCGGAAAATGAAATGGAAACTGGTGCTTATTACTTGGAGGGTCAGAGAGACTTTGGTAAGTAAGTTAGGAAAGGGGATAGCTGGGATATTATATGGCCGACACAGGTAACAACTTTCCTTGCCAAGTCCCTTCGACTCCTCAAATACAAGCTGCTTTTGCATACTGTGACGTGTCTTTTTGGCTTGCCCACAAAATCGCCGGGCCTCCAGGTCCACAGATGCTTCTTGGCGCAGTTCCCGGCCCTGGATCTCAGGATCTTGCATAAAAAAAAGAGGGACAAGTTGAGTGGAAGGAGCATCGAGGGCATAGACTGATTTCCATGTTTATGCAAGGCTTGTAAAGGGATTTCATGGTTAATCCCCTAGATTGTCTCTTTGAGGTGTGGGCCACGGAATTTGGAAGAATCCCCGTCATCAAACTCAAAGTGCTGGAAAAAGTCCGGCTAGTCAATGGTTCGGGGTTCGGGGTGAGGTCATGTTTGAGGTCAGGAAGTGGTGATTACAGATGCGCATCTGGAGCCACGAGCATTGTCATTTGGGTTGCGGAGAGTGCCGTCGCCAGGTGAGAAAACGCCTTGCGTTATTCTTACGACCCGATGTTGCTGAAACCCAAGATGTGGGCTGTTGCGAACATGCAGGGCTATGCCACTAAGCTGCAGTATCCAATGTTCCACTTTAACACAGGGTTGATACAGGCCAGCAACAGCCAACAGATCCTGGAACCTGCTCCCCAACACACACACACACACACACACACACACGCGTGATCTGGTTAAATGGAAATTGGGACGTTGAAGCTCAATTTCTATCAAGTCAAAACTGGAATGATGAAAATCTCTGCTCTGAGGCCATCCCAAATGGATGACTCTGCATGTCCCTGTTG